AGCAGGAATTAAGCATTGCACAGGGTCAGTCCCTTCTTAACAGACTTGCAAGTATTGTATTCTGTATTGTAAAGTCAATGAAAATGCTCTAATATTTTCCAGTGCAGAAGAGGACACTTTTAAATATATCGTGTTGCAGTAGTTCCCACAGCACCAAGTGCCGTAAAACCAAAGGGGAAAATGACAACTTCTATAGCAAAACCAGATTTTTTTTTTCTACTGTTTGTTTTTAAACACATTTTAATACTTCGTTGGCAGCTAGTGGCTTAAGATTATATTGCTTTTAAGATTATTCATAAACTGATCACAATCAGAAATGTGACTGGACTGCTACCTGGGTGCTATACTTAGTTGCTCCCTCTGTCGGAAAGGGTCCTAGCTGGAAAACAGTCTTGGAGAAGGGGCAAAGAAGTACTCCAGAAAGTTAGTGTCTCTTCCCCCCATTTTTGATAGTATAATTTTATATGAAAAAGGGGAGAGGATATTTATCCAAATCATCAGCGTTTATTTAGTATCCAGTCGGTAAAATAATGAGGATATTTTGGTTTTAATTTTTTTTGAAGTATAAACTATTAGTTGAGACGTAAATCAGGACTGTTCAGACATCGCTTATTTGTGACCATCCCCTTTTTGCTCCTGCCTCTTGTGCTGTTACGTGTCTTTTGGCTTGTTTTATGTGTGGAGTCCAATCCGCAAGCAATTTGAGTCAGGTTTTGAAACCGGCCTGCATGGACATTACTTTGATAGTCGTAATTTTAGATTATCTGTCAGTTGGCTTTACTTCATCATCTTTTGCACTGAAGCAGGATCACATCTCTGTGGCTTCTAAGACTGCTTTGATTTGTTTTTACAGGAATGGAATAACAAACTGCCGGATGCGGACAGAAAGCGAACAGTCCTGTGGCTCTCCAGTTGTTAGCGGTGACCCAAAGGAGGATCACAACTACAGCAGTGCCAAATCTTCCAACCACAGGAGCACATCACCTGCTAGTGACTCCGTTTCCTCTTCCTCTGCTGACGACCAGTATGAATTTGCAACTAAAGGTAGCCAAGACAGCAGTGAAGGAAGTGAAGTCAGCTTCCAGAGCCACGAGAGCCATAGTGAAACAGAAGAGGAGGACAAAAAGCAAAATCAGAAGGAGACCAAGGATTCTTTAGCTGACAGTGGGTATGCATCCCAGCACAAGAAAAGGCAACATTTAATGAAGGCGAAAAAAGTACCAAGTGACACACTGCCTCTTAAAAAGAGACGTACAGAAAAGCCCCCTGAGAGTGACGATGAGGAGATGAAAGAAGCAGCGGGATCGCTCCTGCATTTAGCAGGAATTCGATCCTGTTTGAACAACATCACGAATCGGACGGCAAAGGGGCAGAAAGAGCAAAAGGAAACCACAAAAAATTAGAACAAATCAATGATTTGTTTGAACTTACAAAGTTTTGTTTCAGCACGTCAGGTGAATTCTAATGATTTGTGGCAATATCAGCAATTTTTTCCTTTTTTGTTTTTCTTTCTATTTGTTTTTGGTTTTGTTTTGTTTCTTTCTTTTTTTTTTTTTTTTTTTTTTTTTTGACCCTTAAGATTTTTATTTTTAAAGGAGATTGAAGCCATAGAACTCATACTGACACTCAGCTAATTTACAAAAAGCTTTTCATTACCTGAAGACAATAAGTTAACAAAAAAAAAAGCCAAAATCGCCATTGCTTTCTCCGGCTTGTCAAAAATGCATGGTTGAATACGCAGTGACATCAACATTAATGTGATGGGAGTAAAATTGGGCACTTGGAAATCTCTCTTATACTAGAAGAGCTGTGCATAATTTAGTAATCATTCAGGCCTGGCCCTTAAGAATTTTTTTTAATGGCCTTACGATTGGGTTAGAAGCGAATGTGAATAAAGAGATTTGGGGGAAAGAGGAGGCATGTACTTCTCAACACCAAACCAAGAACCATCTAGTGGCACTTGGATACATTGTGCCATACAAGTCTTTGGACAGCCACTGGTGGCAACTGCGCAAACCGTAATGCACTTTTAGTGCTTCACTTACTATATGTGGCTCATAATGTGAAGACTGATAACTTTAAGTTTGGGGAAATTTGAACTATGTATGCAATGGGTTTCAGTGAATTAACGAGAAGAAATGGGGGGGGGCGCTGTTAGTAGCATCGTTAATCATTGACTTCTGTCTTCTATATTAAATTAAAAGAATGTTCAAAAAGCCATAAGCCTGAAGATTGGCACTGCGTGCAAAAAATAATAGTAATAGGGAAAAACAAGCTATGTCTTCTAAACTGCCTGAGTGAAAAGCAATCAAATCTAAGAAATTACAGTAGATGTTGAGGAAGGAAATACATCAGAATCTTTTTCTGTGGATCAAATCCTTGATCTAACTGGGGAAACAAAGCTACAAAACCTGCCATTAGTAGTATTCTATGTTAAAAAAAAAAGGAAAGCATATTGGTGAACAGTAAAATTCAGAAGTTCAACAGAAGAGCTCCTACGCTGCCCTCAGAAATGAGTGTGCAGTTACCGTCAGTCAGGATTCATCTGTGCAAAAATGACACCATATTTCCAGATTCAACCAGCGTAGCCAGCAGAAGAAATTTGATCCACATTGCATGGATTCCTTTTGGGAGGGGGGGAATACAAAAAGCAAACAATTTTTTTTTTATTCAAAGATGACAAAGTTCTTGTAAGGTAAATAATGTATTTAGCATGAAGCATGAATTATTTTCATATAAATATAGAAAATAGAGAAAAAGGCTATGCCTCTAATTTTTAAGCCCTTAGGCTTAGAGTTTGTTCTTTTGGGGTTTATTTTTTTTGTTTTGTTTTATTTTTGTTTCGGTTCTTTTTTGTTGTTGTTGGGGTTTTTTTGAAGCAGGTGTTTAAGGTTTAACCTTCTTCAGGGACAAACACTGACTGTTGGGGAACTTACTCTGCAATATTAAAAAATAAAATCTTCATGCTCTGGTAGGGCTTGGATGGTTGAATTATACTGCCTTGTCTGCACATTCAGCCCCCCTCTCCCTACTTCTGTTTAAAAAAAGAAAAAAAAAAAAAAAAGTAAAAGTGTGTCCTTTCTTCGTCTGTACATGTGTAACATGACGCAATAATCTGAGGGCAAATTTAGTAGTGAGTGTGTATGACAGAATCAAGAGAATAATGGGAGGTTAATTGAGGAAAAATCTCTGATTTGATTCAGGAATAAATAGACAAGAAAATAGCTTTGCTAATCTGCCATGAGAAAATGAAGTTAGTAAAGAGCCTTACTGAGGTGTCCAGAAAAGAAACAGTGTTACAGAGAGTGTGATTCAGGTATAGTGCTACGCTCCTGGTAATGACAACTATTAGATTGGAGATCCCTACAGCAGAGGGAAGCTGTGAAATAAATAAGACAGTCTCTCTCACCTGGATTAGTGAATTTGGCATGAAAAATTCTACACTTAGAATATCCTAGGGGCAAGAAGAAAATCCCAGGAACCAACCACTTAACAGAACGAGATGGTCTATTTCTTAAAAAGAATATAAGTTTATACCTAAGAACTGTTTCAGGCAGCAGTTTTGCCAAGACAGATCTAGTTTATTAAGAGTGAGTTAGAGAAGGGTTTGACTTTCCCACTCAGTGATGTGAACTAGAAATTGTATTTGGAGATGCCCGTGGTGTGTGTTCATTTAGAAGGTGTGAGGACTGAAGGGCGGGCTGGTCTGGACCTGTTCCTGTGCTCCACAAACATTTTGTCATGTAAAGAACAGGGCCACACTGGGGGTAGCACAGCAAAATGGTGCCTCTCCTCCCATCTCACCCAGCGTGTCCTGGGATTCCAGGAGCTCCCTGGCAGCTGCCGGAGCCCAGCACAACTGCCAGCTATGCAGATAAGGAAGGAGAGAGCCAAGGATGGTGCAAGGGACAGCTCTGCACTCCCCTCAGTTTCCTGGGGCCGATGCACGCAGGGTCGATGCCCAGCGCTAGTTAAGCTGGGAGTATGTGGATACTAGCTGGGAGTACGTGGATACTAACTTTTCTTGGCTGCCTGCAGCCCTTAAGATAAAGTTGGGGAAAACAGGAAGGACCGGTCCCTTGGCCAGGCAGCACAGAGATGAATGAGCCATAGCTTTTCCCTTGGGTGACTGGACTGGGATAATCGGCTTCTTCCCAGATCCACACTCCCTACAGCCAGAATCTGCAGGCAGTGAACCAAACAATGCCTGCACAAGAAAACTTGGTCCTTCATCTTTTTACGGGCTTTGCGGGGAGTCATTTGAAATACAAAGTACTACCGTATCAGTTTGCCACCGCCTTTGCTCATTAACGCATAGTTGTACCAGCTCGGGAGTGGTTTAATATTTATCAAAAAGCAACATTGAAAAGTCAGATTTAGTGGAAGAAAATACACTCAAGCCATGGCTCAGCCATCTCTGTCCTCCAGAGAAAGCGATGTGGTTGTGTGTTGGTGGCCAGATTCTGTCCACAGTCACGACACTAATTCCAGAGCAGCTTCACTGATTGCAGTGTGTCAGTGCAAATGAGATCAGTATCTGCTGAACAGCAAGTACCATTCATTAATGTGGACTCTTGGTGGCTAAATATGTAATTACCACTAGTATTACTCACTGTAGAAAACAGTCGTTTTGCATAAATATCTAATTAGGCAGGTTATCTTTTTATATATATATATATAAAATCTATCTAAGACTTCAACAACTCCTTTATATACTTGCTGGTAAACCTAAAATGTTGGCAAGCATCTATTTTCATGTAAAATTTGTTGTTCTTAGTCTGATCTGCTAAGGAGGTGTTACTCGGAAGCAGTTTACAAAGTTATGTTCAGGAACCAGCAGTTTGGCTGAGGGCTAATGCCATCAACAGATTATTTCTGGAGTGTAAAAACAACTTGTCTTTCTTGACCCTTACTCTGACTATTGATAAGAAGTACATAATTTGGATTTGTATAAAATATTTGGGAGTCACCTTTTAAACCATTTTTGTGCCTGGCTGACAATGGCAGCTTTGTCAGAACTGGATCTACTCCATCAGAGAAGTTCTCTTTTTTAATAAGAATTGAGACCGATTTGTTTTCTAAAAAATACGTCAGCTTTTCAATCCAGTTGTCTCTACTTTGACTGAATCATGCCAAAACGGAGTGGTAATTGCACTGTATTACAAACTCTCTCACTTGCCAGACATGAGGTGGTTTTGCTTGTTTGCTTTCCTTACTAAGCCATGTGGGGGTGAGAAGTCGTCAAATCTCTAACTTTCCATTTTCCTCACTCTATCAGTATTGCCAAATTAGCATTTCTCCAAGACAGGTGGGGGCTGGGGGAATCCCAGTAGGTCAGCAGGCATTCAGTGGCGAGTTTCACATAGGCGTGAATTTTAAGGGTTGCTGGACTTCATGGCGGGTTCCTTTGGAATATGCCTTTTGCAGCAAGAAGCTCTTGCAGGCCAGAGCTAATGCCACAAGCAGATTTCACCGGTGTCTGCAGGGAGGTGAAACCTGCCAGTTGTGCTTGCATTCGGCAAGCAATTGGATGTCCTACTGCATTTTGATGCAGATTTTGCCTGCATTTAAAAATTCAAGCGCAGGTCTTGAACAGCTTCAATGTATCACCCTATAGCTGTTTCTGAAAGCAGTCTGATTCTGATCTTCTCCTGGCAAAACCGGCAGTAATTCTACCGAGATCACAGGGTTTTACAGCTGAAAAGCCTGATGCGGGAGCGAGGAGGCGTGCCGTGTAGGACTAGAGAACTGTCCTGTGACTGTGTTCTCTTCTCCCTCGCAATTCAACTGAGGTCCACATTCTGGCTCCTCTCTTACCTTAGTGGGAGAAGGGAATCCCAAAGGAGGTGCATCGGCTCCCAGTGTTCAACTGAATTACTGTCTACCTTTGGAGAAGATTCAGAGAAATTCTGGGGGCTGCATTCTTCACTGGAGTGAGGTAGAGTTACATCGACATACTTTAGCAGAGAATGAAATCCTAAATTGTACACCAAACGGCACCAGGAATAAAATGACCAAAACAACGCTTGGTCCCATTTTCTTGGTAGCCGCAATTGATTTTCACTGAGATTTTGGCTCCCAAATCATCTAAAGATGTAGATAGGTGCAATCTGAGGTTTTCTAGAACCTGAAGGTGTCTGATCTCCTTTGCAGTCAGTGGAGCTATAGACACCCAAGTGCTCCTGGAAATCTTTACTGTTTCACTATCATCATCATCATTATTATTATTACTACTATTATTACCATTTTTCCTTGAATCTGGCCCTAGGCATTTTTGAAAACATTACTCTCCCGTGCTCCAGGATCAGAATAAAACTCAAGAGAATGCATTTCCGATTTCGGATGCAATGCAATTTACTTCACTTCATGGAGAATGCAAACCCAGCTCCTTCAGGTATGTCACTACTGCCTGAATAGC